CTCATTTTCTAGTTTTGACATCAAGAACATATTGAGAATGACTGAATTATATCCTGATGATTTTGCTAAAAATGTAATGGTTACTCTTAGGAATCAGCTAGCTTATATAGTTGATGTCTGTGATGTTGATAAAAGGTTCTCCAACTTAAAAGGGCTTGGCGATATTTCTGAAATGCTAGTTAAGGTAAAGAAGCATTTAAATTATCCTCTTGTGTTTCGCCTTATAAAATTTGTGTTGCTCCTGCCAATTGCTACTGCTACAGTTGAAAGAGCTTTCTCGGCAATGAAGTTGATCAAGAGTGAATTGTGAAATGGAATGGATGATGATTTCATAAGTAGTTGTATGATGCCTTATGTAGAGAAAGTAATATTTAATACTATTTGTGATGAGAGTATTATGAATAGGTTTCAAGAAATGCAAACTCATAGAATAGAATTGTAATGATACATTTTAATTAATCAAAATTTGTTTTGTTTGCTTTTTTGCTTATTTATTTGTTATATCTTGAACCCACTTCGTGTAAATCCTGGGTCCGCCACTGATAACTTGTATTTGCAACGGAAGTCATTGATTTTGCTACTTTAATAAGATTGCTCCAAAGTACATTTTTGAATCACTAGAAAACATAGTATGATTCACAAACTAAATGTATATTTGTGTTTCACATCTTTGTTGATCTTCAAACATAAAAAGTTTCAAGTTTTTTTCTTTTTTTTTTTTTCGGTTTACGTTGTTGTTCTTTCATTTTTTCTATAAAGAGAGGTTGGGAAGTTTACCAGTTTGATAACTGTTTTCTCATATTTTTTTTTCAAATAAGAGATAATTAATTTTTATCTCTTACCAGACAACTTCTTGGATCAGATCGGATTGGATCGGTCCACATGGGGGGCCTACGACTCAAAACTTACAAACTTCATAGCTTATAGGCGATGCATATGTGTAATTAATTTTGAATTTCTTGTCATTGATCCAAGGGACAGTTACTAAGAGTTGTCTTAAATTTCGATGCATTCAAAAATTATAATTTTTTTATTTTTCTAGATTAATTTGAATTCGTTATTTATGATTTTGAACGGATTAGTGTCATTGAAGGTTGTTTAAGCGGAGTTTGAAATTTCAAGATAGCTTGCTTTGCATATCGAATACAAGACAATTGAAATTTTAACTCATAATTTGATTATTTTTCTTAAAATCATCTCATATCTATTGCTTGACTGCATTTATATTGTCTAATTAATAACTCATAATTTGATTATTTTTCTTTAAAGCATCTCATATCTATTGCTTGACTGCATTTAAATTGTCTAATTAATATTAGTGGGCAATCGAAAGCTAGGTTGGATTGTTTTGAAGTATCTAGAGTTAACCATGAGGGTCTTAACATGTGAAGTAAATTCCTGTTATGATATAAACTATTTTTAGTGTTTAGCATACTTTATCAATTTTCATGCAAAACTCTAATTTTTTTAGAAAATACTCATAAAACATACTACTAAAAATCTGATATAAAGCGTGATGACGATTCTCACGAATTATAAATTTCAGATTCGTATAAGTATTATTATGGTTTACGATCCGAATTGATACATGTGCATCAAATCACAATGTCTTGTTCATGATCGAGAAAAGTCTAGGGCTCTATTCCCAATAAGGTTCTTAATAACCATATCTCAAATTGATCAAGAGTGTAGCAAAGTTGTGGTAAAGAAGATTAGAAAAGAGAACAACCAAATGCTACTAAGATGAGATTCAATATGCTCAAGTTAATCGAGGAACCTCTATAGAAAAAAGAAATGTCTTAACAAACATAACTTATTTATTTGATGACGATATAAGTGTTCTATGATTGCATTTTGTTTATTTAATTATGATGTCATATGTCATTTCCTTATGAAAATTAGTCGGTTTAATTTTTCATTTTTGGTTCATTCTTATCGTTTGCTTCTCTTTTTTTTTTTTTAAATAAATTGTTTTGATTGAATTTTAAACATATTAGTATAGACAATAAGACAAATATTAAAACTACTACATAAACATGTCATGCTTTTAAAAATTACAAAAATCCTCAATTGGATCCATACCTATCCCTCTCGAATACATTCCTCCCACTAATTAATGAATCTTTTGCAATGTATCGGACAACCAAGGAATTAATATAATGTATCCGAGAGCAATGACAAATCGAGATTTTTGTAATTGGGGAAACATCTGGGATATGATGTAGTTAGCCCCAAATGTATGGAATTTTTGTATTTTATACTTCAAAAAAATGATTTTTTCGACCCAATTAAATAATACTCCATTAAGAACATTTTTTAATCAAACTAATAAAGACAAGGACATTTTTGAGATACATTATTAATGATAGAGAAATTTTTGGATCAAATGATTAACAAGGAGCAATTTTATTCTATTTTTGCATATTTAAAAGCATTTTTGACGGTTTCGTAAAATAAAAGGTTACTAATATTAGCAGCACATTTTCCCTTTCCAGTATACCAAACCGAATAAGAACCTAATTTTGGGTAAAAGTAAGTAAACGAGTTGGTTAAATGTCAATCCAAGCATTTCCTGCTCAATACATTACAAGAACTGGTTAGTCCACATGCATTACTCTGACAAGTGGCATATAAAACGAAGAGTGGTCAATTAAATTTTATTTATTAAAAAAAAATAATACAAATAGTGGTTAGTTGAATATTATTTATCAAAAAAAGTACATACAAAGAGTAGACAGTTGAATATTATTTGTCGAAAAAATAGCTTGTTAAATATCATTCGTCGAGAAAAGTATATTAGTTATAAATTACTTCTTAAATATACTTACCGAAATTTATGACTTCACGATACATATAATAATTATGAACATCATAGGAAGAAGATTTAAATTTCAGACACTTGATTCTTCTAATCTTGTTTGATCACAAGCACATAAAATTGATGATTATTAATACGTGAAACTTAAGAGCACTAAGAACTTATAGCATCTGTCCACTTAAACATGTCATTATATTTCTATGACTTAAAAAAAATATGTTATAAAGAATAAATTAAAAAGTTTAAAATTAAATAATTTCAAAATATGAATGTTATTTATTTAAAAGACGAAAAAAAAAGAGTGTCACATTAACGGCATATATATAGGAGTACAAGTTTCTGATACCCGATCATCTGACATCTTTTTCTTTCTTGGTGAGTCAAGGATTATGTACAATTTTTTTTTTTAAAAAAATAATTATTTAGAAAAAACAATGTAAGCAAATGAAGATTAATGGTCAATCAAATAAAAATGCAAAAACTAAAGAAATCAAGGAAGCAAATAAAAGAAAAGCCAACAAACCGTTTGACCAGGGTCCCATTAATCACCACCTTAAGAAACAATAGGACTTGGAATCTTTTATCAAAATAATAAGTAGCAAAACAAAAATCCAAAATAAATCTGCCTACTCAACATGTCTATTTCCTTCCCTCAAATATTCAGATATTTTTTTCAAATTTTTTAAAATCTCAATAAGTAGTATTAAACTATTTATAAGATTTTCTAATTTTATTAATAGAAAGTTTAAGTATAATTTGTGTGAACTTAAAAGACTTTTCCATCTTATTGGATGTTGTTTTCTACTTTGTCTAATCCTTTTTGGATCTTCTTCTTTCAAAATATTAACATATATGAAAAGAGAGTACTCATTATCAGTGACGAAATCAGAAATTCTGTTAAAATGATCCAGATATAATATATATGTATGAAAAATAATTTTTGACGTATATAATTTTCTATATACATAAATATAATATAATTTTTTGACAAAGAGTGTTCAACTGACCATCCTTCACTACATGTGGCTACGCCACTGCAATCATTATTCATGACATATAAATACTAGCAAGGTCAAAGAGATGGTTTGTGTAGAAAAGGAAATGAAGAAAACTTGCTTCTGCTTCAATTTCAATAGCTCATTTCTACTTCCTACTAAGAGCTTCAACTTCATGAACTCATTTCTATTTTCAACTAAATGCAGTTTTCTTACTGTTAGAAATAAAGGTATAGTACACTCATTGAAAATTTTGATTTTTTTTTTGTCACATCTTAAGGCTAATTTGATGGTTTGTAATGACAGGGACTAGAAGTGGATTGGTGAATCTTTACAAGGATATGGAGGCTTGTGCAGGATACAATGATATACAAGTTATGTGGGAGATGATTCACTCCAATGTCAATGAAACCAAATGCAAGAAAAGGCCTTTTTGCTGGAGATTTTATAACAAAATTAGAGTTTAGTACATATAGAATGTGCTTGTTTCTTTCTCATAGGAATTGAGACCTTGGTAAGTATAAATTCGATACGAGTTTGCTTAGACATCATCGAGTTGTTTTGATTATGTCCTCTGTTCCATCACTGTGCATTGGATCGACGGTGAGGGCTCGTATTGACTATGATAAGGTCTTTACTCATAGTTGGTGGAGTCATAAGTCATAACTAGAATGTCCTTTGTGTAGCTTGGTAAGGAACTTTTGAATTGTGGATACATGATCCTCTGTTTACTTATAAGACCTATTGCTTTTGCAATTTGGGATCCTCATTTTCGTCCATATTTGGCTTCTTCTTAAGTTGTTCTTTTGTACATGGTCACACAGATGTTCAATTCCAACATATATATATATTCCAAGTGGTGGACAAACTTGCTTCCCTTTGCCATTCGTTTGATCAATCCCAAAGCTTGAACTCTTATACTTGGCTGATTTGCTTAGTTCTATTGAGATTTCAATCCCCTTGACGGATGGCCCTTTTATATATTTCTATAGGTATAGGAGTTGTCGAGAGGTCTGTAAAATTAGGTCTTGGTCCTAACTCATTCCCCAAAAGCTAGCTTAAACAGAGAAGGATTGTGCAAGCCTTGTAAGGACACCACCCATCATTCTTCAACAAGGTCTTAACACCTTTTGTAAAGATTACATCTACTTAGCAATAAACGAGCAAACTTAGCTAGATGAGAGCTCTGGTTTTAATTCCTCATCAAACAACTTTTATTTCTTGAAAGCAAGCTGCCATATTAATCTTCTAGGATCAAGCCTATACATGACTTGAATTTGAAGTAACATAAATATGTATTACATTATTGGACAACAACATATAGAGTAGAGACTTATAATCTTAAGATAAAAGGAGCCTGAACTGGGGGACCTTCAAGCTGCACCATTATGTATATTAATGTAAAAGCATCTGATCAAAGTGCCACACTCCTGTAAGTAAAAAAGAAATATATTATTTTTAGTATATTAGGTAGGGATATTACTTAGTTAAGTCCAAAACAGTGTGAAATTTAGTTACTACTCACTCTGTTTCAATTTGTTTGATTGGTTTTGACTTGACACACAATTTAAGAAAATAAAAAGGACTTCTGAATCATGTGGCATTCTTAAACCAAAGATATGTGGAATGTACCAAAATGTTCTTTAATCTTTTAGTCAGACAAATTAAAACGGGGGAATAGTAAGTTGGAGAGGATGAATCATACCATGTCCTTTTCCAACCCTCCTTAGCTGACTTACATATTCTGCAATTTTCTTAATAGCCTCAACCTGCCAAAATAAGTAGCATAATAATGCACTCATTAGAAACTAAAGTGTAAGAATAAGCAAAGAATCCTTCATTGTTAACAATCCAATTTACCTGCTCGGCCAAAAATTCGCGTTCAACAAAATCTTGCATTTCGGAGTCATTGTTTCGATCAGCCACCTGTTGTTAATCAAGAATGAAGGTTAAGCTTAAGCAAAGGATACCATTTAGGCAATTGGACACTTGAAATTATCTCTGATATGAAGAGAAAAGAAGACGTTTTTACGCTATGCAGGGTCAAAAGTTTCTCCTTTGTTAACTTCTCCAAGGACAATGCCAGTTCCATTGCTGCATCACAAACAGCTAAGAGTTGATAATATTGACTTAAATTTGGATCATTTCTTAATTTGTGCGTGTCATTCTTGTGATGGAGTTATGATTATCTTTTCTGTATCGTTCCAATTTTATCGGATGTGTTTGAAGGGGCACATTATTGACTCAAAAAGTTATAATGCTCGTAAAAGAATGCAAGAAAACTAACCATACAACGCGTCTCCCTTATCAACATGATCAAATTCAGAGGGAGGCATCATAATAGAATGTAGCTTCACTCTTCCTCCTCGGATGTTCTATTATTCATAAGAAGCAAAAAAAAAAAAAAAACTTCGACCATTTATGTGACTATAAATCATTTCATTAACAGCAAAAGGGGAAGTGTAAATCTAAATTATTTGCAATTATAGAAATGCAACACTCTTTTTGAGATGTACTAAAACGGAAAATATGTCACATAAATTGAGACACAGGGAGTATAGTGTGCTTTTCAAATTTTATGATTGTGCAAGGGGACCTGATAATGCATTAACTTCTCAGCATGTTCCTTTTCTTCTTCACTAGACTCCTTGAAGAATCTGATACAAAATTTCTCCATTAACATATGAACACTGAAAAATATGGAAAATACAGTACAAGGAGATTGACGATTTTCTAGTCATTACTTTGCGAGGCCTTTTAGAGCTACGTTGTCCCTGTCAAAGTAGGCGAACATGGCGTGGTATACATACGAAATGTTGTACTCCACACTGCAATCAAATACACAATGAACTCAATCAGCAAAACAATTTAACTTATATATATGTATAGAGAAAATATTTTTACGCCATCATTATATTTTAACTTGTTATAGCAGATAACCTGTCTTATTTTCTAGGTTACCAGTCTCACTTTCTATGAATAATTGTGCATAGTTACCTTTCAGATGACCTTTTTCACTATCAGTGTATAAAAGTTAATCTTATATATATATATATATACCCATGATTTTCCTCTACCCCTTTTGGATCTATTTAATTTCTATTGTTTAGACAGAGTATATGCATCCATGTCAGTACTAAAAGAAACAGGGGTTTCTGATTTATTGTGCGTCATCTTCTCTAAAAACTTTAAAATCTATTAAAGACAAACATATTTTTATTTACTTAACTATATGATTTCAACACGTTCATTCATGTGCGACTTAATTCTTTTATCTTTCATGTGACAAACACCTAAAAATTCCTTTTGATTAAGGGTGGTAAACTAACAGTGACACTTGAACCCCAAGATCTTATCATGATATGTTGTGTGCCATCTCATCTAAATCTTAACTTGTGAAAAGATTAGATTTTATTTATTTGTTTTCAATAGTTTTTACTCTTACTATTTCAATTATATGTTTTACTTCTCGATCTTTTTAGTACAATAAAAATATCATTTTCTCTAGTCGTAACTCTTAAATTATAATATCTCATGTAACATATTTAAGCACACCAGATCTGAAAAACATTTTAATACTGTATACACATTTTTAGTATAAAACCACAAAATTTGAAGATTTTTCTTCTTATTTTCTGTAAACTTTGTCTCTAGTCAAACTATAAGGAATAAATTAAAACGAACAAACACCAACAACCATCACAACTCTATAGCTAAAGCACTAGAAAGAAAAATGAAAAGAGGTAAAGAACTGACTTGATCTGCTCATTGATAGCACCTTCACATTCGTCCGCGTACCTCTGTCGAGCAAGTGAAGTGTGTGGTGTGATAGGAACCATAAATTCATCCTTGTGAACTTCATCAAATGGCTCAAACACCACACCAGTAAGTGAAACATCAGATGTTGCACAAAGTTTAAAGTATTGTTTCTTAGGAAAAGCAACATTTGAAACAGAAGAAAAAGATAACGATGAAGTTTTCAATGGAGTCATAAGAGTAGTAGTAGCTGAAACTGCCATTATTTCAGAATTCAGAAAAACTAATAAGAAAGATGATAATTTTCAATATTGAGATTAGCATTGACAAGAGATAAGTATATAGAAAGGTTGATGAGAGTAATCAAGTAGAGTACGATTTATTTGAGCCGATGAGGGACTGACACGTGGGATTTGTCGATTAGTCCAATTGTACGAGGCGTGTGGCAGGCTCGTGGCCCTAATAAAAAAAGTTGAATACTTAGGGGTATCAAAATTGGAAAATTCTGGAATATATCGTTATCATCTTACGTGTTAATGACTCTTGTCCTAGATTGAATTCGGAACCTAAATAAGCCATAAAAAGATAAAAGTGATCAAAATAAATCACTATTTTAGTAAGTAATTAAAATAGGCTTAATGGAAGAAAAAATTTCATTTTATGAAATATTTCAAACGTTTTTTGTTAGTCTCATAACGGGTATATTTTAATATATAACAGAACTATTTCTTACACTTTGTAAAGTGTAAGTTTTCTTACACTTTATAAAGTGGAAGAAAATTTTTTGTTTTACCAAGACGAATATTTTTCACGTTTTGCATTAAATTGTATCTCTTTATGAAGCTTTTGCAGTGTTTGTCATACAATTATATTGATTTGACATATCATAAAAACGAAAAAAATTATTACATTATGTATTTTTATTTTTATTTTATTATGAAAACTCCTCCAAGCTTTATTTAAGGAAAAAATTATTACAATATGTATCATAAGGTTAACTTGATCTATGTAGTCATTTGGAACCCTCAAAAAGTCGGTCAATGATTCGTCACTATAGATAATCCACTCTCCAAAATTTACTTGTCCTTGTGACAAAAATGAAGTAGGATATTTTTCGACTATAATCAAATTATAATTAGTACTATTTATACTCATTCTTTTATAAATTGATGAAAGAAATTTATGATATCTGACATTAATTAAATATTTAGCATTGTGTTTGAAAAGACAATTATAGTAAACGATATTTTCGTCATGTATAGTTTCGCCATCCCAATAAATCGAAACTCTAACTTTTGGTTTAGAAGACATTTTTTGTGATTGAAATGAAGAAAAATAGAAGACAAAAGATATTGAAGGTACGACGTTTGAACGTCCTTAAATAGAGGGACTGGGAACCTAAATAAGCCACAAAAACATAAAAGTGACCAAAATAAGCCACTACTTTAGGAAGTAACTAAAATAGGCTTAGTGGAAGAAAAAATTCCACTTTATCTAATATTCTAAACGTTTTCCGTTAGTCTCATAACGTGTATATTTTAATATATAACGGAATTATTTTCTACACTTTATAAAATGGAACTATTTCTTACACTTTATAAAGTGGAACTTTTTCTTACACTTTATAAAGTGGAACTTTTTATTACACTTTTTATAAAGTGGATGGACATTGACCGATAAAGGAGAACGTTGTTGACTAGTCTTAGGCTCCTTCCTAACATAGATTTCAAGTATTGTTAACTTGATTTGATCTATGTAGTCATCTGGAACCCTCAAAAAGTCGGTCAACGATTCGTCATTATAGATAATCCACTCTCCAAAATTTACTTGTCCTTGTGATAAAAATGAAGTAGGGTATTTTACGACTATAATCAAATTATAAACAGTACTGTTTATACCCATTCTTTTATAAATTGATGAAAGAAATTTATGATATCGGACATTAATTGAATATTTAGCATTGTGTTTGGGAGGACAATTATAATAAACGGTATTTCCATCATGTATAATTTCGTCATCCCAATAAATCAAAACTCTAACTTTTGGTTTAGAAGACATTTTTTTTTTGAGATTGAAATGAACAAATATAGAAAGTATGTTGTAGGTGCTACCAGTTAATGTTTGAACGTCCTCCTTAAATAGAGATTGGAGGATTTTTCAGAATAAAAAAATAAAAATACATAGTGTAATAATTTTTTCCTTTTTTATGATATGTCAAATCAATATAATTGTATGACAAACACTGCAAAAGAGATAAAAACGTGAAAATATTTCTCTTTGTAAAGTGGAATTTTCTCTTCCACTTTATAAAGTGTAAGATTTTCTCCCACTTTATAAAGTGTAAGAAAAAGTTCCACTTTATAAAGTGTAAGAAATAATTCCATTTTATAAAGTGTAGAAAATAATTCCGTTATATATTAAAATATACACCTCATGAGACTAACGGAAAACGTTTAGAATATTAGATAAAGTGGAATTTTTTCTTCCACTAAGCCTATTTTAGTTACTTCCTAAAGTAGTGACTTATTTTGGTCACTTTTATGTTTTTGTGGCTTATTTAGGTTCCCAGTTCTAAATAGAGCTTAGAGGAGTTTTCAGAACAAAAAAATAAAAATACATAATGTAATAATTTTTTCCGTTTTAATAATATGTCAAAACCAATATAACTGTATGACAAACACAAAAGTTTCATAAAGAGAACGTGAAAAATATTTCTCTTTGTAAAACATAATTTTTTCTTCCACTTTATAAAGTGCAAGAAAAACTCCACTTTACAAAGTGTAAGAAAACCTTACACTTTACAAAGTGTAAGTAATAGTTCCGTTTTACAAGGTGTAAAAAATAGTTCCGTTATGTATTAAAATATACACGTTATGAGACTAACGGAAAACGTTTGGAATATTGCATAAAATTGATTTTTTTCTTCCACTAAGCCTATTTTAGTTACTTACTAGAATAGTGGCTTATTTTGGTCACTTTTATCTTTTTGTGACTTAATTAGATTCCAAACTCTCCTAGATTGAAGTATTAGACTTTTGTTTTTCCAGCCGTTTGATCACAAATATATTTGATTTTTTTTAAATTAATGTTTTGCTATATAATTTATTATTATTTAGCAAATATATATTTGACAAATATCTCAAATATATATATTTTGTACGATTTTTTCTGAGTATGCTCTTTGAAGTCACTTCTAATTACAAGTAGAAATAGTAGTATTTTTGGGTACAAATCAATGATATTTTCATTTTGTTTATTTCCTCTTTTTTCAAATTCATATTAATTATGTACGTTGTCATGATTTTTTACCGAACATTTTCATTATAAAATGATAATACAAACTTATAAGTATTTTTATTAATTTTTAGAACTTATGAGTATAAATAATATTTTTTTAAAGTCAAGTATTTCTCCCAAAATCTATGGACAAACGAATATATAGTGAATTTTCACCCCAAATATGACTTGTAGAAAATATTTGAAAATTTGTTGCCAAATCCTAACTTATTTTCGTTTTTTTTTTCCTTTCTAACTTATTAAACTTAGTAAAAAATCTCTATAATTAGATTTTATTATAATAATTATGTTTTAAGTGAAATTGATTTTTATAGGGGAACTTTCACATATCGCCACTCAAAAATTTCTTAATTACGCTCCATAGTTATAGCTCGCTAATTATAATTTGTAGCTACATGTTATAGGGAGGAGAGTATGGCGAGCGAGATTGGGAGAGGGAGGAGAGAGGGCAGAGAGTGGCAGAGAGGTGAAATGCATATGTATATCGGGTAGATAATTGTATATATATATACATATGTATTTGTATATCTGACGAGCGAGATTGGGAGAGGGAGGAGACTGGAGAAAGGCGAGAGAGATTGGGAGAGGGAGAAGAGAAGAGAGCGAGAGAGGACAATAATTTGCATGATTAATATCTTGTTTGTATAATTCGCGTGGTTTTGTATAATTGAGTAATACAAAGTCTGCATTATGCAAATATGATAAAACTCGAAATAATGAATCGATACAAACATAAACATATGAACTTTAAACAATTATACAATTTATATTCTACAAATTACATTATATAAATTATATTATACAAAATCCGAAAACTACACATTTATACAAACTTTAAAAAGTTATACAAAAAAAGATTGAATGTATATGGTAATAAAATTGAAAAACCAAAGGAAATCATTGTCATATACAAATACAAATCAATCGAAGAATTGTTAGTTGTGAATTATACAAACGTGGTTAATTATACAAATTCGAAGTCAACCCATGTAATTAATGGTTAAAGTTAGTCACGAGTGTTAATTATAACAAACTAAAGCTATGATAACTAATTAAGTAGAATAAGTTTGCTTAACCGCATAATTTTCTCTTTATTATATTATATTATATAATCACATGTTTTTAATAATATAATATTTTGCTAAAGCAAATAAAAGATAACGAAACAAACGATGCTATTATAAACTTTTTTTGACTGTATACTATGCATATTTATCTTTACCACTAAAATCAATTCATGTTGTCCTATTTTCGTCGTTTGAATATGAGTGATGTAAAATGATTTTAATAAAATCACATAACTTTGAATGTACGTACGTGTGTTTCCACACATTAATTATGAATTATGCGCTCTATTATTTTATAATGCCACCTAATTCACTGAGAACCAGCCTCTTTCGTTGTTTAACAAGAAGTAAATCATGAAATATAATAAATGTTGCAATTTCTGTGTACACGCAAGTATATGTAGTTGCCAAGTAATATAACAATTTCTTTGCAATATTTGAAACTCGAATTTCACAAAACTTACTACTGATAATTATTCGATGGAATATATTATACTTAGGAGAATAAGTGTTTTTCATAAAAGAGTTGATTGTTATTTTGTTTATTTCTAATTTATGACTTTATAAATACAAAGTGATCAAATTTAATTGGTTTAAATTCATAGAGGATATAGATTCCAGGGTTATGACACTTTTCGTATTCACATCATGTTTACACCTTAGTAATTGTCATGCTAATTACTATCAAATTATTAACTCACGGAGTTAATAGTATAATTAGGGGTGTACATGGCCGGGTTGGTTCGGGTTTTTCAAATATCAAACCAAACCATTTGTGTCGGATTTTTAAATTTATGAACCAAACCAAACCAATAAAACTCGGGTTTTTCAACCTCGGATTTTTTCGGGTTTTTTCGGGTTTTTCGGTTTTTCGGTTTTTCGGGTTGTTTCGGGTTTTTCCGTCAAGTATTCATATACAACATATGATTTACTTGTACTTCAAATATTTATTTAGTC